TGAATTCATTTACCTCAATATTTCAAAATGGAGTAAGTTTAAATAAGTAAACACAATAATCCTTTTTTAGAAACAAAAAAGACATTAATTATTTTTACAATCTTAATTCATTTCTATTTTTAGTTAAGTTTTTAATTTGCTTAGAATTCAGGAAATGTTTACAGTTTTATAGGACTATCATTCCCAATATAAAAAAAGTATAATCAATTTCTTTTGAATTAATTAATTTCATTATAAAAGAGTAATTTAAAACAAAAGTCAACAGTTTAGTTTTATAATTAATATTAAATATAAATAATTAACAATTTATAATATTAAATAATGACATAAGAAAAAGAATTCTCTTCTAGAGACTTGCTTGAAATTAATCCTAACGAGCTTATAGAAATCAAGAAACTTTCTATAAAATTCGAATCAAATCTTTATCAGAATGAATTATTTGTATCTTAAAATGAAGGCTATTTAAGTAGTTTAAATAATTTATCAGATTTAACACTAATTTTCGAGTCCAATTGCAATTTAGGATTAGAAGGATGGAATTCTATTCTTAAATCAGTTTAATAACTCACTTAATTAGAAAAGTTAGTCATACAGGTTTAAGAGTTATGCTTTTTAGAAGACCAAGGCTTTAATTTACTCAATTTTACTATTTCTTCTCTTAAGAAATTAAAAAAACTCGAAATAGAAATTCAAAAATCAAATTACATTTCCCATTCAAGTTTATAAAATTTTGTCCAATTTTTGAATAACACAAAGTATCTCATTGAATTAAAACTCAAAATAGATGAATTGTAGCCAAAAAACTCTGAGACAAATATCGAAATCTGGTAAGGATTGTAATAATTAGAGCAAATTGAGAGCTTAGATTTAGATTTAGACTTGAGATATTAAGACTAGAATGAAATTGATCAGCTATTTCAATCAATTTTAACATTCAAAAAAATAACAAAATTAAATTTAGCTCTGAGAATATTAACTAGTTGCTCAATTTCAAGGATAACTCATTTTCTTTAGTAAATGATTAGCCTAACTGCGCTTAAGCTAAATTTTAAAGATATTTCTTTAAATTTGGATGATATTCTTCACATTTCTACTTTTTTTAACAAATTAACAAATTTAGAAGAAATTCATCTTGAAAATCTCCAGAATTAGAATAAAGATTTAGGTTTTTTTAATGACGAATATTTCTAATCTCTCAGCCAATTAGCTAAACTGAAAAGTCTGAAATTAGATTTTGATAAGGTTGGCTCTAGAAATTCTTCACAATCAGAAGCTGTGGTATGCAAAAGTCTAGAAAATAAAAGTCAGTTAAATATTCTCGAGTTAATTACAACAAATCATTAGCTTTATGAAGAAACAATTACTAAAATTGCACAATAAATTTATTTTAATTGTGATAAATTGAAGTAATTAAATTTTTAAATAAAAACTAAAATAAGCTTAATAGGTTATTAAAATTTATCAGAATCGTTTAAGCAACTAAATTAATTGAGCGAATTGAAACTAAATCTTTACTTTGAAGATGATACAACTGAGGGTTAAAACAAGCTATTAAATTCGCTAAGTCACTTGAGTAATCTGAAAGATTTGAATTTAAAGCTTAATTATAATTTTTATACAAATGTGTATAGGTAATAGTCACACTTAGCTTTCTCATTTTTAAAATAAATAAAGCTTGTTAGGTTCTAATTAGCCATAGATTGTATGATTGCTAATGAAGAATTTATTTAATTAGGAGAAGGTTTGCAAAATTAAGATATTCTTGAAGACTTAGTTTTGAGTATTTCATTTTTGAGACCATAATTTGGATAAGTAATTTAATTGGATTAAATCTAATCAGTAGAAGCATTTGTTGATGGAATTAAGAGCCTTTAAAACCTTAAAAAGTTAGATTTTTATATCTAATTTAATCAGAGCTTTAGCCAAGACCAAATAAATTAAATTATTTAGTCTCTTTAACACCTTTAGAATCTGGAAGAAATTAACAACCTTGCTTTGAATACTGATTTTGAAACATTCGAGGAGCTATCATAAACAATAAAAAAGCTTTGCAATTTAAAAAAATTGATAATTAGGAGATTTTAGATAGTTGATTAAGACTATTCTATTTCTTTCATAAAAAGCATCCAAAATTTAAAAGATTTACAACATTTAGATTTAGGATTAAGTGTCTATCCTTAAAGCTGGGAAAAAAGACTTGATATAGAAAACGCTCTTTTAAATTTAACTTAACTAAAGACACTTAATTTATAAGTCCTGATATAAGAAGCTGATAGTTATTTCAAAGACATATTTAGAGGATTGAAGCATCTTAAAAATTTAAATTAGCTAGAGATTAACTTTGATCAAATATATTTGACAGATTCAGATGCATTAGAGTTCAGAGAAGCTTGCAGCGGCTTACTAAGTTTATAATAAATAAATATTATAAATCTTTTGTTTCATGATACAGATTTCACCAAAGAAGGAGCTATTTATTTTCAGCAAGGATTATAAAAACTAAAAAATTTAAAATCTTTTGTTGGAAATTTCATTATATCAATAATAGATGTAGCTAAGGCTTTTGATAGTCTTTTAAATTAAATTAACTTAAATAAATTAGATTTCAAAGTTCATAGTGAATATGTTAGACCTTAAATAGATTCAGAAATCAAGCAAACAGAGTAAATTTAACTAGAAGAAGAAGAAGAAGTTTTAAAATAAGAAGAAAATCATATTTAAAAATACAGAGGAATAACTTAATTAACTGCTAGATTTTAAAATAATTTTGAATCCTAAGTAGATGACATAAGCTAATTTTACTCTAAGTTGGTTAATCTTTACAACTTGAATTATTTAATCCTCTCCCATAGTTGGTTCTATGACTAGTAAGTGGATTTCGCAAACATTTTAAGAAACATCACCAATTCATTTTCACATTTTTAGAAGCTTCAAACTCTTGAAATTTCTCTAAGTAACTGCTCACTCAACTTAGAAAAAACCAATATAGAAAATTTAAAGTATTTAGTAAACTTATAAATACTTAAATTAGGTTTCTCTAAAGTTTCAATTTATCAAGATTAGCTTCTTTTTTTGCCTTTGTAATACCTGTAAAATCTTTAATAGCTATGTCTTTTCTTTACTGCTGAAACACCAATTTAAAAATTAGGTGCTTAAGCTCTTGGTAATAGTTTAAAATTTTAAGCTTAGTTGAATTTGCTTTAATTAGAATTTGGTGAAAACTCTAAAATTGAGTAGGAAGGTGCTGTGGAATTAGGTTTAGGTCTGAAAGGCTTATTGAAAATTTAATATCTTTCTCTTAAATTTGGTAATAAATGTGAAATAGGCAATAGTGGTGCATAGGCAATAGCATAAGGACTTAGCTAATTATCCACTTTGCACTTTTTTGATTTGTAAATAGGATCTTCAAACAATATAAGTCCGGAAGGAGGATCTGCTTTAGCCTCTTCTATTAAGAGTATGCAGAAACTTAAAGATCTTGTATTCATTATTAGCAATGGAAATAATTAAGATTAAACATTATTAGATTCAATTTCTCTATCATTAAATTAGCTTAGATATATCTAACGTGTCTCATTTAGCTCTTCTTTCTGTGAGTATTTCAGATACTGCCCCAAATAATTGAAACAACTTTTTTCTAACGAAATTTTTAGTGAAACTTCTTTGTAAATCTACAATGATTTAGTTGAGCAATCGATAATAGAATTAAAAGGAAGATAAAACTAGCAAATATAACTTTCATTTTAATTTGAAAAAATATAAAATTACTCCCCTCACATTGAAATAGAGTCTTTGGAAGAAATTTAAATAGATAACTCAGTTTCTTTATAATTTAACTTCAAAAATTAATAAGAATCTGATTACTATTAAAAAACTAAAGAATAAATTTTGAAAATAAAATCTAAAAAATTAACAATTTAATTCCAACAAGGTATATTTAATGATCACCAATTAACCTAAATTGTTCTTCCATCACTTAATAATTAAAATTTGCAGTATTATAAATTAGAAATTTCATAGCTTTATTAAATTGAAGAAGAATATTTTGTGTAAATCGCTTAATTGATAAGCAAACTTAAAATCAGTCATTTAATATTCCAATTTTAAGGTTCTTAATCTGACCAAATTTACAAAAAGATAATGTAAAACCTTTCAAACTCTTAACATTTATATAAAATCGAATTAAAAGGAAATATCATAAACGAAAAACTTGTCATCTAATAGCAAAAATACATGAAAATACTTGTAGACTACAAGCAAGAATTTTTATATTTTTGAATTAAATACATCATAAATATACTTTCTGGAAAATTAATTATTAATTTTTATGTTCTAAGCGCTTTTCTATATTTTTTTCTATTCTTTTTTAAGTTTTGTTAATTATTAATTGATCTTTTTTATTCAATAAAAATTAATTTATTATATAAAAGTATTGTAGATCCTCATAAATTAAGTGCTACACCATTTTTCCCCCCTTTCACTTAGGCTTTAATGATAAAAAGCCATCACTTAATTAAAATTTAAAAAAAGCCGATGTCTCCAAAATTCAAATTTAGCCTATTGCTATTTATTAAATTAGGATCAAATTTTAAATATATGTAATTTAATAAAAGATATGAATTGATAGTCGTTAAAGAAGATTTAATTTACTTTTTATAATGGATATATTATTTTGTTTAAATTTATTTTTTAAAACAACATATAAAGCAAACAATGGATTATTTTAAATTAATTTTTTATTGATAAATAATCTTCTAAATTTTAGGCATATTTAACAACATAAAGTGAAAATAATAAACAGATATTTACTAAAAAGATAAAATAAATTTCTTTTCTCAAATATTCATTTTTGCTATTCTTTGTAAATATATTTTTTTAAATAATACTCTTTTTGTATCTCATTTTATATTTATTTATTATTGATATTAAACTAGTTTATATTAAGTAGAAGAGAATTTCTTTTTAACATATTAAACATTAGAAGTATTATATAGTTATATTCAATGATGGTTATTCTAATTTTGTTATTAATATGCCTATTAGCATTGCTATTGTTATTATTATTATTACTACTACTGCTGTTATTATTACTATTACTACTGTTATTATTACTACTACTACTGTTATTATTACTAGATTTGTTATTGTGGGTTTTTTTATAACTGGATTAATTATTAAGGCAATTATTAAGGTTTATTCCAAATTTATTATTACTTTTGCTATTATTATTATTAAACCATTTATCTTTAAAGAGGTATTTAATACATATCATTCAATCTTACTGCCTATGATTATTAGTTAAAATGACTAACACATTGTTACTATGCTAAGAGCCTACCTTGAATTTAGTATACTTAAGGTTGCACGTTTTATTAACATTAAACTAAATCGTCTTTAAGAACTTAGAGCTTAGCCTAGTTTTTAGGGTGAGATTTTTCTATCTATTTTAAAATATCTGATAATACATGTTGTCCTTGATTGTATTGGTTTTGATCAGCATATTTGATGGCTTCTTCTATAGCTTAAGCTGCCTTTACTCTGATGTAGTTAAATTCAACTTTATCGTTAATTTCTGAATCTTATGCTACTTATTCATTATCTGTAAACAGAGTCAAAACTAATTTACTCTCTTTTAATGTTTGTAACATTGAATCAACAGGGCGTGCAGTCAATTAAACATTTATTATCTCTAAATTTCTTTCAAAATCTTATAAATCTTTAATCTCAGATTTTGGAACAGTCAATTCAAAAATGAAATCTTTAGAAACTCCTGAGAAAATTTAGTTAATATTAATCCTTAATTCTTAGTTTTGATTAATAATCTTCCACATATGACCATAAGTCTTTGAGATATAAGAGTTTTTGAAGAATTTTTGAAATAATTCATTTTATCTGTTAATTTCAATTTTAATAGTGAGGTCTTAGGCTACAACTGAGAACAAACCACCAAGCGCATCGATGAAAAATTCATCAACTTAATCATTTTTTTCTACAAAATAGAAGCTACCATCTTTAATTTAAGCTATTTTTTACATAAGAGGACCATCATGATCATTACCGAAACCAAATGAGTGAATAGTGAAACTCTCTTCCTGTAGCTATTTGTAGGTTGTTTTCAAGAGATTTTTTATGCCGGCATCAGCCAAATTATCTTGACCATCCGAAAGTAAGAAAATCGAACTCACTGAATTCTTTTGTTTTCTACTTTGTAAGATTTAAAATGCAATTTCTATGCCTCTAATAATATCTGTACCACCATCAGCTTTAATTGACTTTGTAATAGTTTAAAGGGATTTTTTATTTTAATTGTTCACATTTTTTAGCCCACAAAGCTGTTTGGCTTTAGTGTTAAATGTGATTAATGATAATCTATCATTTTCATTGAGCATCTCAAGAAGTTAAAGTATAGTATTTTTAACATTTTCTATTTTTGAGAAGTCATTCATAGATCCAGAGTTATCAATTACGCAAATCAAATCAAGATTTGGTCTACCTTCTAATGGATTTGATTTAACTTCCATATCGTTTGTCTAGTCTAAGGTTTTGACTGAAACCATAACTGGAATAGTCTAATCTTGATTTTTATTGAACTAGAAGTGCTTTTGTAAAGTTTCCACATCTAAAACGAGTCCCTTTTCGAGATTCTACATTTATTTTTTATGGTTTTTTGAGTTTACTACCTTTTAAATTGAATCTTCTATTTACATTTCTGCATATTTTTAGGCTTATAAATTATCATAGAAATTAGGTAGTTGATAAAAAGATGGTTGATATAGTTACTATGGCATTAAAAATGGTAACTATTATTATGGAGACACCTATATAGGCTTTTATAGATTAAGTGTTGGTTATTTTCTTTTTGTGTAAGAGCGTTTAGTGTTATTTGGCTTTTCAGTTTTAGGCTTTGAAATTTGTTTAACTTTCTCAACAGATTAGGTTTATTCTACTGATTAAAAAGATTAATTTTATGAAGGCTGTTAAGGAGGTTAATTATCTTTTTATTGGTTGCTTGTTTGATTGGGTATCATAGAATTAATATTT